CCCGCTCTTGCCCTGTGCGCTGCTGCGCTGCTTGGTGGTGCCCTGGGCCAGGCGCCCGCTCTTGCCCTGTGCGCTGCTGCGCTGCTTGATGGTGCCCCGGGCCCAGCGTCCGCTCTTGCCCTGTGGGCTACTGCGCTTTTTGGTGGTGACAGCAGGAGCTGCGACGCTGGAGCTCAGCACGCATGACGTCACATTACCCTCACAGCGTTTCCGGGAGGCTAGCTCCTTTTATTATTATTAATACTGCTACTTCGCTGCTCAGCTCGCTCTTGCCCTGTGCGCCCCGGGCCCAGCGTCGGCTCTTGCCCTGTGCGCTGCTGTGATGCTTGGTGGTGCCTCGGGCCGGCTTCCTGACGGTGTGGCCATCCGCGTGCTCTTCGCCCGGGCCTCGGAGTTCGATGTGTCCTGTGCGCTGCTGCGCTGCTTGATGGTGCCCCGGRCCAGGCGCTCACTCTTGCCCCGTGTTCCCCTCACTGCTCGGCCGCGTCCCGGGCCAGGCGCTCTATCTTGCCSTGTGCGTTGCTGCGCTGCTTGGTGGTGCCATTTGGCCAGGCGCTGCCGCCTCTTCGTGCGACCCTCGCTGTTTGGCCGTGCCCGGACCAGGCGCTCGCTCTTGCCCGGTGCCCCCTTTGCTGCTCGGCCTGTGCTCGCTCTTGCCCTGTGCGGCCCTCCCTGCTCGACCGCGTCCGGGGCCAGGCGCTCCTTCTTGCCCTGTGCGCTCCCTCTTGCCCTGTGCGTAGCTGCGCTGCTTGGTGGTGCACCTTGTCCAGGTGCTGCCGCTTCTCCGTGAGCCCCTCGCTGTTCTGCTGTGCCCGGGCCAGGCGCTCACTCTTGCGTTTTGTGCTGCTGCGCTGCTTGGTGGTGCTCCCGGGTCAGGTGCTTCTGCTTCCCCTTCAGCTCCTCTGCTTGGCCTCGCTGCTTGGCCTCACCCTGGACTAAGAGCTGGCKCTAGCCCCCTGTGCCCCTCGCTGCTTGGCTGTTCCTTGGCCAGGCGCTCACTGTTGCCCTGTGTGCCACTCTTGCCCAGTGCCCTGGGCCAGGCACTAGCGCTTGCCCTGTGTGCTGCTGCCCTGTTTGGTGGTGCCCTTGGGCCAGGTGCTTCCACCTCCCCGTGTGCCCCTCTCTACTCTGGGCCAGGCTCTCGCTCTTTCCCTGTGTGCTGCTCCACTGCTTGGTTGTACCTATGGGCCAGGTCTTCTGTCTCCCCCATCTCCCCATGTTCCACTCAATGCTGGGCTGTGCCCCTTGGCCAGGTGCTTGCTTTCGCCCCTGTGTACCACTCCTGCTCAGTCGTGCCCCTTACCAGGCCCCCTGCCTCCCCGTGTGCCCTTTCATTGATTGGTTGTGCCCCTTAATTGTGGTTGTTTGGCGTCTCAGTGAGGGTTGCCAGAACTTGCCTGTTAGGATTGTTCTCCTAGGTTAACATCACTGTCTTGATCTCTTCTGTGTAGCTCCTTGCAGAACTGTGGCAATAGCATCTGCGGTTTGCTCTGCTCATCCTCAGAGAGGTGGTCCAGTAGCACCTGTAGGTGTGATTTGTGCCTCATCTTATTTAACTTTGACAGAAATCCTTGCAGATTAGGCACTGCTATTAGCCCCATGCTACTGGGAACACTGCTGGATTATTCTTCAAAGGACACTGCCAGTTCCTTGTCCTCCCCCTTCTAACTAGGTTAACATCATTGTCTGMTCTCTCTTCTGTGTGGCTCCAGCCTGTGTTTCTTGGTCAAGTACTTGTGTAGTACACACCTTCCCCTCCATTCAAGCCAATTCCTTCACAGTGCCTCAAACGCTCTACCTGGATTTCAGTTAGACCCTAACTTATCTACCTGCTGGAATATACAGTCCTCTCCTTGTTGGAGGGTGATGTGTTTCAAAATCCAGTGGATGCCTGCAACCAACCCTATATATGCTGTATTTTTTCCTATGTACCTACATACCTAAAATAAAGTTTAATTTATAGAAATGAACAATAATAATAAAATTGAGATATTATAACAATATACTGTGATAAAAGTTATGTCAATGTGTTCTCTTTCTCAGACTCTCATTTGTACTGTACTGTCATATGTACTATACTGTATTTTTGGAGCTGGGGTGGGTAATTGAAATCACAGAAAATTAAAGTAGATAAGGAGGACCACCATACTATTACTTATTGAGAGCTCATGGTGCCAGATATCTGTTGCTAGATAACCAGTCAAACTTCATGGTGTAAAACAGCAGTGGTTATTTTATTATCTACCCTACTTTTGTGGACAAGGAATTCAGTAAGGGTTTGGCTGGGCTGTTCTGGCTTTAAAGGTTTGTTTGTTTGTTTGTTTGTTTGTTTATTTAATTAGTTAGTTAGTTATTGGTACTGGAGATTGAACCCAGAGGCCCTTAACCACTCTGCCACATCCCCAGCTCTTTCTATTTTTCATTTTGAGACAGGGTCTTGCTAAGTTGCTCAGGGCTTTGTTAAGTTGCCATGGCTGGCCTCAGACTCATAATCCTCCTGCCTCAGCATTCCAAGTTGCTGGGATTATAAGCATGCCCCAGCGTACCTGGCCTGGCTTTAAAGATTTTAATGCCATTGTGTTTAAATTGTGGCTTGACTTGGAATATAGGTTAGTAAGGGATGTAACAGCTGGAGGCTAGTGGAGTGTCTTTTCTTCATGTAGTCTCCTAGGACCTCCCCACGTGGTCTCTTTACATGTCTATTTGGTGTTTCCTTGGGAGATTTGGATCTATAACAAGCATCTGAAGTTTTCAAGAACAGTTCCAGCAAGCAGAGCAGAATCTGTATCAACTTTTAAGACCACAGCACTTCAGAAAGGGCAGAGTGTCATGTCACCTCTGATTTACGGTATTAATCAAAACAGCCCCAGAAGCCTGCTGAATTTTAAGGGGAAAGGATGTTGACCCTGTGGTTGGGAGTAGTGATGTGAGATGGCAGTCTTTGAAAATACAGCTTGCTACAGTGTATCAGAGGTGAATAAAAGTTGTCATTGTCCTTAAGGAATTTCGGGTCTAGTTGGGAAGGCACACCTGCAAACACATGATTTTTATTACTATGAAGTAAGAATATAAGTGTACCTATAAAGGGATTGGGAGAAGGGGTTTAGCAGCAGTGCTTATGTTTTCTGAAAGCTCACCTGCTGTGCTGGCCACTAAGCTCTTTGCATTGTTGCTTCATTCTCATGGTAACCTGCAGATAGGTGCTGTTATGAGGTCTTAGGATTCTGGAACTTAACTAGCTTGTCCAGCCAGGTTCCATAGCTGAAGAGTGGCAGAGCTGAGACTTGAGTCAGGCTCTGCCTCTGTAGAGTTTGTAACCACTATGGCTGATTCATAAACTGATTATTCTGGGCTTTGAAGGGACCTTGGCTCTGAACATGCATTACAATGCATGTAGCTGGAGGAAACCTTGGTGGCAGCTAAGTTGTGAGGTCTGGGCCATTTGGGATCTGTCATGTTGTGTTTTGTTTTTAACTTGGATAAGAGAGTGAGGCATAGAAGGAGAAGAGGCTCCAGCTTCACATTGGGGTGCCAGGAAGGTGTCCCGTAGTTTCACTGATGAGATGTAGTTATGGAATCAACATCAGGCAGCCATAAGAGCTTTTTCAAATAGAAGAGACAGTGAGCTTTCTGTTCTAGAAAAATTGTTTTGAGGCTTCAGTAGAAGACTTGTTTGAAGCAGGGAAATCAGTTCATTTCCTCTGATATGAAAGAGGAGGACATCTCCATACAGTAATAATGAGATTTGACAGAAACACTTGTGCTTTCTCTTTTTTAAAAAAAGTAGTATTTTGCATGATATACACAATTGGTTTTGATGTTTTTTTTATTATTTGTCATTTTTCCATCTTTTTTTCCCCTCTTCTCTACCCACTCCCTCTAGAACTCAGTATACCTTTATTAAGCTCCTGCTATGTCGGTACCAGATATATAAATAATTCTCATTAAGAAGGGAAGTGCCATTACAGTGGTGATAGCTAATACTTTGGATTTTTTTTTTCAGTGTCTATTTTTTTGGTGACTGGGGACATTCAAATAGAAAGATGAGTCATCTGTAATTTTACTTTCTTTGTTGGGGARGAACTAAGTTATTTGGCTTATAAATGTGAAAGAAATGCTTTCACATTTCTTTCAATAGGTCAGTAAGGTTTATTTGTTTATTTATTTGTTTTTTGAGATTGAACCCAGGGACATTTTACCACTGAGCTATGTCCCCAGTCCTTTTTATTTTGAGACAGGGTCTCCCTAAGTTGCTGGGAGAATCACTAAGTTGCCAGAGCTGGCCTCTCACTTGAGATCCCCCTGCCTCAGCCTCTTGAGGTGCTTTGGTTGATGGGTTTTGGTGGACTGGTGATCTCTGTGTTGTGTTGTATTAAAGGACTTCATGACCCCCGTGTTCCTCTGCAGACTAACCCTTCCTGGAAGAGTTGTGGAGAATGGAAGTGAGCAGGGATCCTACGACGCAGATAAAGGTACCCCTYTGGAATGCGCGTGGTCCTTCCCTTGGTTCTTCCTGTTAGCTTGTCTGTAGGTAGTCTTTCCAGAGTACACCCGGGGACCTAGGTGTCTCGCAGTCGCAGTGGGCTCCTGACACTCTGTACCGCCTGCTGCCTTTATTCRTGATTTTGTGACAGTTAGAATTTCCTCAGTCCTTTAAAGTATTTCACAGTATTTCTTCAAAGCAAAGTTGAGTTAAATACTCTGACCCCATTTTCTAGAAGTACTTCTTCTACATTAAGTAGGTGTTTAAAAGTAAAATGAGATGATTGATTATAAAAGGTGTGGATGATTCATAAGCTTTTGAATGGAATCTTTCTTGTACAATTTTCAAAGTTGAATTTTAATAACGGGTAGATGAGAARCTATCCATGGGTGGCATTTAAAGCCTGATTGAATTTCTTCTCATGATTGATAAGTAGCTCATTTTAGCTAACYGTGGAACCATTTATTTTCCTTTTCTAAAAGCCACTGGATCTGTAGTAAGAGTGTCTTGTGTACGCTGTGTAATTATGCAYCAGGGTAGAGAGAGGAGAGGCAGGAAGTTGTTAAAGCAGAGTTCTCACAGTGCAGCATGAGAACAGTGACCCTGCTGTCCTAGAAGGAAGTCTACCTTTAGTTACAGATCGGTGGCATATAGAAATGAAGTCACTAAATTGTGAAAGTTCACGGATGTTTAATAAGGTCAGACACGTGGAAATGTTTGGGTTGAGTTGTGTCTGATATGTTGGGATGTAGTTGATGCATTGAAAGAGCTGAGATGTTTGAAATGCAGAGTAGTGACTACAGGATTGTTGGGACTGGACAAGGTTGATGGACCAGTCAGGAAGGGGGTGTGCATACACTGGAGTGTGCTGGCAGAAGACTTCAGGGGTGGAGTCCTGAGATATCAGAGACACTCCTGTGAGCCACAGTTGCTTTATTTAGAATATTTTGTATTTTTTAAACTGCTGTTCTCCTTGGATTAGATACCTGATTTTCCCCCAGCCCAGAAATATATTTTACATTTATATATTTTATAAGTAACTCTTGGTTAATTCTAAGCTGTTACCTCCTCAGGCCATTGATGTTCAGAAGTTTTGATTTGGAACTTTAATAGTCTCAGTAGGCTGAGGTGATACTGGGTGGGATTAAAGCACTCAGGCCCTTGAGCAGTTTGACCTGGAGAAGTAACAGCTCCCCAAAAGCCCTGTCTGAGCCTCTTGCTGTTTTGAGTTGTGTTCGCTAAATCAGTATCAAGGACACATTTTGGAGCCTAGTGAGTTAAAATTGTTTTACCAAGATATATATTTCATAGGTATATTTTCGAAACCTTTGAAAGTTTTAATTTGTCTAARCATAAAACAAATTTATATTTAAGGAATTTTTACCATTCGATTACCCAAAGAAACTCCTGGCGAGCATTTTGAGGGGCTGAACATGCTGACTGCTCTTCTGGCACCCAGAAGACCCAGGACAGCCAGACCACTTGTGGAAGAAATAGGTAAGTGCTTTGCAGTTGGGGAGAAATGGAGATAATTAAAAATATTTAGATTGCTATGTGTTTCTGGGGGAGAATCGATTTAGTGAGTAGCAAATGGGAGAGAATGTCTTAGGTGACAACATAAGCTCACTTTGGTGTTCTGATTAAGAGATGTAAAGAACCCACTGGACCAGCAGATGCTCCACATTTTTGGACCAACTAAAACATTGTCTTGTCTCAGTCAGGATATTAGCRTTTTGTGCTAAGATCAGAAGTGTACGGTGGAAGGAGTTCCCCAGTGTGGACACCAGCAGGGTCTAGAACTGACCCCCASCTGTGTGGCTGCCCTGGCTCCTCTCCAAGGCCCCACTGCCCTCGTTTAGCCTGTGCTGGAGTGGCATGTGTGGTTCTTACGGGCTGTGTGCTCTTTCACTCAACGTACTCTGTCAGCCTCGTCCCTCCTGCAGCCGTGCCCCCTGCTCTCATTGCTCTGTGGTGTCCACGTTTCTTTATGTGTCCTGCCACTGATGAGCACTTGGGCTGGCCCCAGTTGCTTGGCTGTCGTGAATAATGGAGCTGTGGCTATCTTTGTGCGCGTCTTTCAGTGCATATCTGCAGGCAGGTTTTTTGTACACTTTTTCTTCCTCTAGTTTTACCTAGGAAATCCAATACTTTAAAAATGATTACCTTTTAATACACACAGGTGCTTCTGAAGAAGTAGTAGAAGACGACGATGGAGAGTTTGATTGGGAAATTGAGCAGACCCCCTATGAAGAGGTACCAGAAAGCCCGCTGAGTCCGCAGTGCAGCTACGGGTTCGGGAACTCCCGGGCAGGAGTGGTTCRGCGGTTGCAGGTACGTGGCCTCTATGGCAGAGTGGGGACGCAGGGTTCCTCTGTGGGCATTCTATTTCAGTTCTGCTTGTGCTGGGCAGTTTGGATCAAGACGGTGTGTTGAGAGCCCCTGGCACAACTTCTTGCCCATAACTGTCCCCCAGGTGTTTCCCCCCTGTTGGCTGTCTGCCCGCCTCACTGCTGTTGCAGACATCCTTGTGCTGTCTGCCCCTTAATTCAGAGAGGAACTTTCCWAATGCCTCCTGGAAAGCTTTGATTAGTACTTCTGGAAAATGGAGACATACTTCTGATGTGAAATGTTCTTCTATGCACATGAGATGCTTTCCTAGTGTTTGGATCGGTGGCTCCGTCCTGGTGTAGGATAGRTGCTCTTCGTTTCCTCCGTGTGGAGCTCAMGTGGAGACTCTCCTTTGAGTGCTGCTCAGGAGATGTTGGATTTGGGGATTCTAGCTACTGATGCTCMGTCTGTACTAAGCTGTATTTGGGTTTACCAAGGAAAGGTGAAGGACTTAGCTTGTGCTTCCATATGTGCCTCTGTTTAAATTTGGGATGCTGTGCCAACTACTTGACCACAAATGTTTTGTCTTCTCTTGTAAAATGGGGGGTCAGTGTGCTCTTTGGAAAACTTAAGGAGATGATGCATTTGAAATCTCTGAAAAGTGTAGAAAGCTCTGACAGTTCCTGTCTTTAGGACACAAAGTACTCTCAAGACTCCTAAAGGAAACAGAACTGGGATTTRTATAGGAGTCAAGCTGGTGAAACATCTCCTAAAAGCCTGGGTGTTTTTCTGGTGCATCGTGAATTGCATACTCCTCAGCCTGCTCATGTTCCCTGCTGGGCTCGAAGATAGTCAGACCTGAGCCACTTTGTCACCTATTTGCTCAAGATCTAGCTGGTGGTCGGTCTAGGGGCTTTCCAGTCCAAAGCCATAAATAAAGGGTAGTAAATGTCACACAGTCTAAGTACAGATTGTACATCCCTGTTAAAAGTGTCTCCCCAGCCAGGGACCTTGGCCCTGGGATTGTTGCTGCTGTGAAGGGAGGAGCCCTGGGGGCTTTCTGACGGGTTCTGAAGGACACAGGCATGCGCCAGCTGAGGCCCTGCGAGAGTGCTGGTRTCTATTGAAAATGTTCTCTACGGTTATTAGAATGATTTTAAACACAAGTAATTGTGAAATGTTCTTGATACCCTGATGCCTTCACTCAGGTGTTAAAAGTCTGTCACCTGCTTGAAAAGGAAACATTCTCAGTGTCATTGAACTTTTCCTAATTGCGCTCATTATGTTTCCCCCTCAGAAATGAACCATTGAATTTAACGTTTATAGTTCCCCATCGTTTAGCTCTGTTGTCTAAAATCATCAAACTCGTCTTCAAGTTTTAACTGAAAGAACATTGCTTTTATAAACAATTTGTATTTCCTCAGAGTTGGAGGGAGCATGAGCGTTTGTCCGAGGAGCTCAGCTGTGAACCTGCTGTACYGCTGGTGGCACAGGGTTTCACCCCACGTGTGCAATACTGGGACCCCCAAAAGTCCTGAAAACCGAAACATTTAAAAATATTTAATTTGGTGGCAACACCTTATCTGAAGTAATATAGGTTTTTAAATATATTTTCRTATTTTTATTGGTGAGTTRTAAGTATACATAATAGTGGGATTCATTGTTACATATTTATAACACAATTAATAGTTGTCTTTTAAATATGCAAGTAGTGTGCATATTCTGAATCTTTACTGTAGAAATTAGAGTGATCTATTTGGATGCCAGGGGGTGCATCTGACTTCTTGGAGGAAGTTAAATAAAGTGTGGTGTCTGCACCCTATCACCTTCTCCATTCTGATGGGGGCTGCAGCCTGCATCCCACCCGCTTCAGAGGACCTGGAGGGCACGGCCCCGGGCACTCAGCACCGGCCCACATCGCTGCTGGGTCACGGCTCCTTCCTGTGATGGGTGCKCATTTTACCCTGGGACCAACCAGGGGATGTTAGTCTTTACAGAGAATCTTATTTTCTTATTAAATTTGAGGAATATGGTGTTGTTGACAGCTAGGAAACACAGACCAAGGCTGTGCATGAAGGCTGCTCTCTGCAGGGGGCTGGTGTCCCGCCGGCTGTCGGCATAGAGCCCTACGTGAGTGGCAGTACTGGAGATTTTCTGTCTTCACAGCTGCCTGTGTGTGACAGTTGAAAACTGAGTGACTACGTAGATGATCARTGTGGCCCTTTCTACCAGTAAAGCAGGTGGGAAATGCTGAAAACAACTATTGCACAAGGAAGAGATCTTAGAACTTCTCTTCTAAGTTAAAGTAATTCTTAAAACTTCACCGTCTTCTAAAATACAGTGTTTCCTCACAAGTTCAGTCTCTCCAGTTCTGCCTTTGGATGAGAAGGTATCTGTTGTTTGTTCATTGCTCAGGTTTTACCTGTATTCTGACAGCTTCTTTTTTTCCCCCTTCTAAAATTAAAAATGACTATTTTTTTTCTCTGATGATAAAAGAGATATAGATTCATTATAAAGATATAATACAAGAAGAAATTAAATCTTTCGTAATTCCAACACCCAAGCATCTTGTCTTCATGGAGTAACTTAACCCTTGACAAGTGGTGTAGTCTCTCCTGTTTTTTCCTGCCAGCCTGTTAAGTAGCTCGTGAATGTCTGTGTTTTACACTGATAAATGAGAAGAAAAAGTTTTTGCTGAAACATAATCTCTTCTTCCCCCCACATCCTTACACATACACACACACACACACACACACACACACACACCCTTCTTTCTTTCCGTTCTGAAATTACTGCCAGCCACCAGGGCGCCTTTGGAAAACGTCCCTGGCTGCTCAGAGTCAGGGCTGCACAACAAGCTTCTGGCACAGGAGGCTGCCAGCAACCACAGTCCCAGAGAGTCTGGGCGCCAACCCAGCAGCCCTGGGGGCCCTGCTGCCAGCAGCTGTGGAACACTGGGCTTGCTGGCTCTTTGCTGCCCTTGGCTGCACTGGGGACCTGGCCTTTGTCTCCAGGGGAYGGAGTGGCCAGATGTGTGCGCAGGGCTTCGTTCTTGCTCTGGGCTGCTCTGCCTTCCCTGTGGTAGCGTGCATGAGCCCGACTGAAATCCTCCSTGAGCTTTCCTTGGCAGTGCTTGTCTTAAATGCTCAGACGGCTGGGGACCAGGGCAGAGGAGGGGAATGCTTACCCTCGTTTCCTTCTGTTGATTGTGTCTTACATTTTTATATTCCAAGCCAACTTGGCTTTGCTTTTTAGTTTATTTCAGTTTTTCCTTAGGGTCTGATTTGAGTTTCCCACCATGTCTGTGTGCAGAGCAGGTCTGGCAGGACCTGTACTGCCGTGAACTCCACGCTGACCATGTGCGTGTTCTGTGACTGCACTTGAAGGCCCTGAGACAGGAGCCGTGAGAGGAGGGAGAAGGAAAAGAGCCGCCTGCTTACGGGTCAGTCCTCACCCCCAAGAGAGCAGGAAGCTTATCTGTGTGTGTAGTGCTGGGTCTCCAGGCCASCACCCAGCACGGCACCCGCCCGCAGCAGCCCAGTGCCTCTGCTCATTCATGGTTTTATACCAAACCAGGCACAGTTCCCGGGGCGCAGTGCAGAAGATAGAGCAGGCCCTGCCCTGTGGAACATTCTAGTGGGTGGCACAGTAAGCAGGTAGACAGCAGATAAGTGAGGTCATGACAGGTTGTGCTGGTGAGAGACGGGGCCACTCCTTCAGTACAGAGAAGGCCCCTTGAGGACTGTGCTGTGTGCTGCGCTCTGGAGGGTGAGCGGGCACGGTCAGTGCAGAGCCTGGGGTGGGGTTGGTGTGCTGCGCTCTGGAGGGTGAGCGGGCACGGTCAGTGCAGAGCCTGGGGTGGGGTTGGTGTGCTGCAGCAGTGGGCTCTGGTTGGCTGGGGTGCGGGAGCCTGGCTGACAGCAAACTGTCGAGCTGCCGTTGGCATGCGGCGTCCTGTGGGTGCCTGCGGGGGACCTCCGCAGCGCAGCAGTGTGTACCGCCATGATCACGTGAAGGATCTTGATGGCGAGAGCGCCCTGYGTTATCTAGGTGGGCCCAGTCTGAGCACAGGGTCCTTAAAGAGACCAGGGTCAATCAGAGAGGGCCACGTGATGACAGAAGCCTCAGAGGGAGGGTCTCAGGATGTGGGCTGCAGACCAAGGAATGGGGACACCTCTCAGATGGAGAAGGCGAAGAAATGATTCTCCTGTGACCCTGCAGAGCGGCATGCAGCCCAGCCAGTGACTTCAGCCCAWTGAGACTCATTGAGTTCTGACCTCTAGAACTGTAGGAGAGTGAATTGGTGGTAATCGCCACAGCAGAGGCAGCAAGGGAACCCAATCCCAGTCCCATGACGGAGGTGCCTCGAGACTCATCTCACACAGCAGGCTGGGGTTCACAGTGGGTGGCACAGCTGGAGCTGGGCTGCAGAGCTGGGCAGGCCTCACTCCAGGGCTGCCCTTCCCCTTCATCAGACTGTCTTCAGAAGTATCTGGGGAGAGTGGAGTGAGGGTTGGGGCCAGGGCACTCCTTGGGGCTGGAAGAAGGGAGGAAAAGGGGTGGCCCTCTGSTGACGGGGAGGGACTTGGCATCCAGGGAGGTGGCTCTAGTGTTCTCCAGCCAGTGAGCCCAGATGCACTCTAACACCTCCTCTCCCAAGCCTTCGCCAGCACCCCACCCAGTCTGACTACACACGCTAGTTTCAGRTAGTGAGGAAGTACAGGGAGACAGGAAGGACCCAGATTGCGCTACCCTGGGAGACTTTTCTGGTGGATTCTCTCTCTGCACGTACTTCCCAGGCAGACACTGCTGCATGCTTGTTGGGCTGTCCCTGTCGGGGTCCTCTATGTAAGGGTTATTGCACAGGGCACAAACTTGTGGCTTGCCCTGAGAATCTAGCTACTGTTTACYAGTATTTCAATAGAAAAATATATGTTAAGGGCTGGGGCTGGGGCTCAGTGGTAGAGCACTTGCCTAGCCTGGGTGAGGCACTGGGTTCGAGTCTCAGCACCATGTATAAACACATAAATAAATAAAAGTTCATCAACAACTAGTAAAATATTAAACTTAAAAAAAAGACATGTTAGGTTTCCAAAAAGAAAATTGCAAGGAAACTTTTGGAATGCAAATTTTTTATAAATTTGGGATCGGTCAGAAATCTGGTTTTGCCCAAAATGTTTGTACTTGGAAATATTAAGGTATTCTAGATGTTCCAGTGACTTCCAAAAATGTCTCTGGTCCCTTTGATTGTATTAGAATGTGTTAAGATTAGATATTATTGCTATTATTTGACCAGCTAGGTGTTTCCTTTGGTTTCTTTTCAAGTAATGTCCTTTAGGCTTCTTTCACCTTCTCTACTTCTCAGCTGGGCGTGGTGGTGGAGATGGGGCGGTTGAAGAAACGAGAAGCACAGTCATGGGATATTTTACATTGTATAGGTTTCTTTGCTTCACAATTGTGACCAAAAGAATAAAGACAATATGGTATKCTAGGCAGTTTTCTAATATACTTATTTTCAGTAGGATTCCTCTTGGAAAACATGCCATGTATTAACATGTACTCATTTCTGTAATGACGGTTATGGTAAAGTTGATTCTTAGATTCTTAGATTTTTCAGTGGAAAGTCATATACGTCAAAGTAGCCCACAAAAGTTCTTTGATCMCTTGGGCATGGTGGTGCATTCCTTTCATCCCAGTTACTCGGATCACAGGTTCCAGGCCAGCCCTGGCAACTCATAGTGACATCTTGTCTCAAAACAGAAGAGGGCTGGGGGTGTAACTCAGTGGTAAAATGACCCTGGGTTCAGTCCCCAGTACTGAAAAACAAAACAAACTAGTCAAGTCCACCTCCAGAGTAGCCCTGTCGTTTTGTGTGTGCGGCCTCCTGTGAGGACCCTTCTGTGAGACCCGCCGAGCTAGACTTAGGAAGCAGCAGGTGGCTGTCTGTACTCAGCCTTCAGACCTGAGGGGCATCTCCATCACTTGGGAGATGATGGAGAACCAAGTGTCCTGTTTGCTGCAGGGGTTGTATTCCACTGTGGCTTCCTGTCAAGCTGTTGGAGCTGTAGTAATGTTGACCGGTTTGCTTGCTGTAGGGATTAGRTGGATCACCTCCAGCAGGGCCTAGGGAGTGCTGTGCGCTTCACAGTCATTTGCCTGATCTGAATCTCTGGGTCATGGGCACCGTCATAGTTCACTGATCCATTAAGAATCTTTCTGTRTTTTGCAATTTCTTTTCCTTGAAAAAGTTGAGTTTTTAAATGCTAAAAATAGGAGATAGCAAATTATCTTTCTTTTTCTGCGTGCTTTAGGATGAGCTAAGTGACGTCATTGACGTTAAGGATCCAGATTCTACCCCTGCGGCTGTGCGAAGGCAGAAGCGCCTGGCTGCCGAGCTGGCTAAATTCGACCCTGATCATTATCTGTGAGTACTGAGCTTTCTGAGGACTAAAGAGTTTATTGACACCCATTTAGGAGTGTCTGACTCTACAGATTGGACACATTTTGGATGCTGGAAATTAGTGGTGGCTGAAAACTTAATTGACCTTGGGGTTAGCTGCAGCTGCCCCCAAGGTGGTGATCTTTGTAAGCTCTCRCGTCTTGTCGCTCACCCTAGCAACAGAGGACTCCCTAACATCCTTTTCTAAGGTTTTTCTCACTACGAGTAAGAAAAGAGTGAATCCATGAGAATCTTACCCTCCTTTTAAGTAGACGTTTGCTGCGTATGGTGGTATAGGGTGATGAAGGAATGTCTCCTTTTCCTGACGAGGCTGAACCTCAGGTCCTGCATTTCTCGCTGGCTCAGGGTCTTCCCTGTAATGAGCAGTCTGTTCAGATGACGAGTGTGTGTCCCTGTGGTGGAGCACGAGGGGAACCTGAGGGCTGCAGTCTGCCTTAGTGGTGTCTGGCCAGAGCGCCATCCTCTCAGGCTCCATTTACACAGCATGCTTACGTGACTCACCATCACTGGRGAGGTTGTGATGACAGCAGCCCTGTGCGATCCTCGCTGGCCCCTTTGTGGAGGACGGGCCTGTGCGTCGACTTGGGCCTCCCTCACCTTCCCCGAGGCCAACGGCTCCAACAGCTACACTGCGACTTAATCATCACAGCCCCGCACATCCATACTGGGCTTTCACTTATCAAGTGCTCTCGTGRGATTATTTAATTTAGTTTTCACAGCAGGAAGTCCAGAGACTTGACCAAGGTCATGCTACTGCTGAGTGGCCTGGCCAGGACTTGGAGRGAGTCTCTGCCCTTGTCACTGGTATTTCCTTTCTGTGTACACTATTCTGGTTGAACTGCGGTTGCTCTGTGATTAACGTGCTGTCTCCTGTGACACGAGGATGCTGATTGGACTGGCAGAGATCTGTTTGTGATGTGTGACGATGGTGGGTGGACCTCCTCACCACCCTAAGGCAGCCGAGGGAGAGCGGCTGTGTTGCGTTTTGGAGGGCGTCTGAGAAGTTGAGCTCCACTTACGTTGCCATTTCTAATTACCTTTCTCTCTCCAGTTGTGGTTTTAAAGGTCCACTGAAGAGTCATCTGAAGAAACCCATTTAAAATCATGCTGGATATTTAAGGTGGAAATTTCATTGTCAGCAGATTTCTCCGGCTAGCATGAAAACAGAATGAGCTTTACAAGACTGAAATTTCAGGTGGCGGGAGGGGAGGGGGAGGCTTAATTAGAAGTGCCTGTCTATTCTGAAGCTGGAAGAACGAGAGTGTGGCCCGAGAGAACTGGGAGATTGAGACCGAGAATTGGCGGGGTGGTATCRGAAGCAGCCCTTGTTCTTCACCTCTGTTTCTTGTCTGGAAGCTCACCTTCTTCAGGAGCATGTGGGAAGGGTCCTCTCCCTTGCTCACCGAGGACTTCTTACAGGAGGGGCCTCCCCTCCGTGTAGTCCTGGGCTGGGGCAGAAGAGTGGAGTCCCAGGGTCCAGGTTCCTGGTGACTTCTGAGGCAGTAGGACTCTGGCTAGTTGTGATTTGTGGGATCCTTTACTCATTATTCATATTAGCTGGCCGACTTGCCCAAATATCATTTATATTTGATGAAACACAAAGTTCTTGTAAATTTTTAATTAAAAAAAATTTAGTTCAGTGCTTTTTTTGTTAGAGTTAATACAATTTAGAAAACCTGTCCCTTTGTGTCCTGTGACCCCGAGGTGGTGCACCGCTCTCATGCTCTTACCCCTCCATGAGCATGGGTAACGTCTACCTGTGACACTAATACGTGCTGCATTGTGCAGACAGTTCCTGTTCTTAGTCGTCTCACCTGTCCTTGGAGGTCATGAGGTCTCSGGATGTCAGGTTTGGGGGGCACATGATGAAAGCCAACTGATTTCAGCCTAAGCAGAACATAGTGAGGTCCACTGATTATAGAAAGGAATTCATAAATTTCAAAGGCAAAAATAATTGACTTTGGATTATTATTTCTAAAACCCTGTGCTGTACTCTCTGGGTGCTTCCTGCTGGGACTTCTCTCCTGGTGGGTTTTGTGGCCGCACAGTGCTGGGCATATGACACACTTAAGTTGTCGTTTAATTGTTCACATAGTCTTTGCCTTAACCAATTCATGAGACCGTGCCTCTTTCTTTGGGAGAAAACAGTGGAATTTAATAAAAATCATGAACATCTCTGAGAAAAAAAATAGGACAAAGTGACCATCCACCATTTGGGGACCCTTTACAATTCACATTATCCAGCGTTTGTTAAGGATGGCAGGCATTTGTTTAAGTGAGCCACGTGCCAGGCAGTGCCTCGGGCACAAGGGGACCACCGTGGTGYGAGGATGGTGGTCTGGCTCACGGGGGCCTGTTGCCGTGAGGGCAGTAGGGGACAGTTCTGTGGTGATGAGGGCTGTGAAGAAGCCGCCTAGGGCTTGGAGCACGACCACACCGGGCACCGACTCCTCTGCCTCAGCTCGACCCCAGGGGACTCTTCCCGTCCCCCCTGAAGCCTTSGTCCTGCCCCATTTCCCAGCCCAGCCGCCTCGGTTCCCAAGCCAGGACTCCTCTTGGCTCTTCCTTTGCCCCACATCCATCAGTCCCACGGCGGTGCCACTCCTCTCCCTTGTCCTCACCCCCTCTTCTCGCCTTCCATGATTGACCGACCTGTTGCCCGGCTCCCCAGGCCAGGGCCCTTCAGCCCTGTCCGCCGCAGGGCTGGGCAGATCCTGTGCTGAGTGAGGTCTCCCGCCTGCACCTGGTGCTCCTGGCTGATAAGGCGAACCCGAGCCTCAMATCTTCTTAGGAAACTCATAATTCACGGACCTAGTGGGCAGGGCACCACCCCGTTGGATTACTGGAATAGGAGTAGTGGATCTTATTCACAGTCACCAGTTAGAGAGTTGGCAGAGGCGGGTAAACGGGGTAGGAGAGCCGTCCACCATGCCAGGTGATGGCTTTCCCCAGCCGACTTGCCCTGGGGGGGGGCCAGCTGGAGGCCCTCGGCCTTGCCTTCGGCGTCCCCGGTGCTCCAGCGTCCAAGGCCCTTGTCTCTCAGTGTGCCCTTCTTCCTGGGTGGGTCTGTCCTSTTCCTTGCTCCAAATACTCGTAACTCCCATGCCTTCCTCAAGTACCCAGCTTACGTGTCCAGCTGTCTGTTTTTATGTCACATAAGGGCACCGGAACTCAGCCTGTCCCAAGCCTGTGCCCCGTCTCAGTGACATGGTGGGTGTCCACTGGGTTGTTGACTCTTCTAGTTCCTTAACCCCTTGCCCCTCACCCCAGGGTTCTGGGGGTGGTTTCGCTCATGTCCACTGCCACGCTGTTCCTGCGGCCACTCTGTTTCTGCTCCTCCTGTTGGCCCCTTCAACATGTCATTCCCCTATGTGGGAGTTCAAGTTTTCAGTTCTTACAGATAAACCCCTATATTTTTAAGCATGAATTACAAGATTGTTGTCACCACAGCATATTATTTTCATCTCCTCTCAGCACCTTTTTCTTCAACGTGTGGCATTATTACCTGGATTTTGACAACTATTCTTCGGCCCAGAATATTCTGTCCAGCCCTCTTAATAATATAAACTAGTGGCCATTCAGTCTTGCGTTAGCTCTCGCTCCTCCTGGCCCTTGCCTGCCACCTGGGTGCGTTTTGCCCTAGGTCGTTGCTGTTAAGCGGCAGCAGCGTGTGCTGCTGTGATCGCTTCATTCTCCCTCAGGGCCAGGGCAGCGGCGCCCGGTGCCCCACATGCAGCTTGGAACGTGGCACAGAGTTTTGTGGAATGAATGAGTTCTTGAAGCATTTTAGCCATTTACTCTCTTGTTCATCATTTTTGAAAGTCATTTCTTAGAAAAAGCTCACTTTCTGATTTGAGAATGAGTCTATAGTAGAACTTCAAGGTTTTTTTGTTCACTTTAAGGAAAAAGAAATAGCTAATAAGAAAAGAGGATTTGTTTGTAAAGCCACTGTTTTACCCTAGTGCCATATGCTTTGTGCGCCTGGCGAAAATGGATTTGGGAATTCCTGTTTAAGATACTATCTATTCAGTCTTGACCCATATTTTTTTATTTCCTTAATAAACAAAAACAAAAACAGGAAGTTTGTGTTTGTAGGAGCTTGGATTCTGGAGCAAGGCTCAAGTGGGCCCACATCCTGGCCACACTTCCTACCAGCTCACTGTTCTCCAGGCCTCAGTTTCCGCCTGTAAAATGGGTGTTTTAACAGCCCCTCCCACACACCCATGGTGATGGTGGGAGGAGGGAAGGTGCCCAGCACTTAGAGCAGTGGCTGGAACCAAGGATGGACTCACTTCTTACCTGGTCTTTCTGATTTTCAAAAGATCTCAGTATCTCAGATGAAAGAAAAAAGTGTCTAAAGTCATAAAAATATCAGCTAGCAAATTTGATTTATCAAAGCAAGCATTTCCTTGAATTTCTCATTGTCTGAAACATAGACAGAATTTTTCATGAGCTGTGCTTTCTCACTCTTTTCCCAAGAATTCCAGTTTCCAGCCTTGAATGCAAGATAGCATATTTTCTGAGTACGTGTCCTCCGAGAGTGAGACGTATATTTTAAATATAGCTGTGGTTTTTCTAGTTAAAACTGAGGAAGTGGAGTTCAGGAAAATTAGTTTTCTGTTCTTTACAAAGCTGACTTCTTTTATCTTTGTCAGTAATTTAAAATCAGGGAATTGTTAGCAAACCCAGTAAAATAGCTTGCATTGTCATAGAAAGTATCCATGCACATGATAAAAAGTGTGTGTGTGTGTGTGTGTGTGTGTGTGTGTGTGTGTGTGTGTGTCTGCCTGCGCCTCTCTTGAAGTTGTCCTGAATTTCCTGCTCTGTTTTCCTTTGCTGGTGGTTTGAAAGGTCTTTTCCTTTATTGACACCTTTCCAAAATCTGTGGTGCGTGAAATCCGAGCCCGAGTGCTGGGTCTCAGTGAGTGTGTTCAGATTCACTTCTCCCACGACACTGAAGGGATGTGCCTTGAGGTCAGGATGACCATCCAGTGCTTCTGTTGAAAGAGATCACAAATGTCACAGATGTCGGCTTGCACACGGTCTCGTGCGGGGGTAGTGAAAGGAGTAAATAAGGGCTCCGTCTTTCCTCGAAACAACTCTGGATTAACAGTCCATGTCTGTAGTGGAAATGTGATGAATGAAGATAAAACTGGAGAGATGGAAGCCAGCCAGTCCTGCCTAACGAGCCATTCACTGTTCCTCCTCAGAGCTGACTTCTTTGAAGACGAGGCAGTCGAACAGATTTTGAAATATAATCCTTGGTGGAATGATCCATATTCAGAAATGATGGCCTGTTTGGGGAAGAGTCGGCAGCCAGAAAGTCATGCTGCGTTAGGTAAGAAACTCACAATGAGACTCGTTTGTTAAAACTTTTAAAATCTCATGGTGGAAAGCAGGGTGAGAAATATTCTGGAATTGTCTTCTATTTTTGCAACTATATTCCTGTAAATCTAAAATCAGTTTAAAATAAAAAGTTTTTTTTTTTTTTTAAAGAGAGAGGGAGAGAGAGAATTTTTTAATATTTATTTTTTAGTTAYCGGCAGACACAACATCTTTGTTTGTATGTGGTGCTGAGGATCGAACCCGGGCTGCACACATGCCAGGCGAGCGCGCTACGCTTGAGCCACATCCCCAGCCCAAAATAAAAAGTTTTTAAAATAAAAAAAAAATCTCTGAGTACCCAGTTTGCTGCCTTCCCTATTCTTAAACACATGGTTTTAATTATCTCACAATGTGAAGATATGATCTTGTATTGTTGATTCTAGAAAAGAGATCCTCCTCCTTGAAAATGCCACTAAATTTACATTTCACTTCTTTGTGTTGGAAAATGCTTTTGAAGTTCAGTTTCCTTTAGAACCATTGGAGTCCTTTTAAAATTTTTTTTTTTTTTTATCAATTTGTAGTAAACTCAGGGGTATTAACATTCAGGACATTTGTGGTTTTCAAAAAAACTGCTTGAGAGGTACACACAGTCCCGTGGGGAGGCATTTAAGTGTTGGTAATGGTGGGAACAGACCCAGTTCTCTGTCTCTCTCTGTTGAATGAATTTGATATGCCCTCCTTGTTTTTTCACACCCAGTTGTATGAGGAGGCCAGTATGGCTGTGCTCATGCCCACCACTTCCAGGGGACGRGTGGGCCAGCATGTCCCCATGAAAGCTGAGCTGGGGTTTTATGAGCCAGAGGGACGGCTGTGCCATATTTAACACGCAGCCAGACGTGGCCCACAAACAGTCCTTTCTTAGGAGCGCATGTTATTGCCCGAGTTAAAATAAGAAGTTCCTTCTCTAAGTTCTAGGTTGCATATTAAGTCTGCATGCTCGAGTTGTAACCGTTTCTGATAGATCAAGAACAAGAGTCTGTTTTGGCCMACATACTGATTTGGCTTTGACTCATATATTAAAACTAAAATTTCATTGGGTAAATGAAAGGTTCTCTTTCTCTCTCTCAAGAATATTTAATGAAATATAGACCTTTCCTACCCCAGCTTCCTCTTCCTAAAGTAGTTGCTGGTAATCATTTTATGTATTTTTAAATTCTCTCCCATTGCATTCCCATTCCACCTGCGGTCGCTGCGGGGTCTGTGTGGTATCTTTTTTAATTCTTGGCCTAGCAGTGCAGTAGTATCTAGTTAAGTGCCTGTTATGCAACAGGTACAAAATAAGTATTTATGRGAAAATAGTTATTATTTTTGTAGTTTTGTTAGAGTTTAGGTGATTTCTCRTAGATCAAAAAATTGTTGCTTTTACAAAATAGATAATTGGTTCTATTGCATGAGAAAAACTCATTTATAATAACCCTTGATACATTTATTTTCTTCAACAAATCCTGGGTTTATATATAATTTAAGAAGCCTTCAGAGAGTTCCCCCATGTCACCGGCAGATTTTCAGGTGTAGAGTTSCTGACATGGTTGGGCAGTTAGCTCTGTGCCTGTGTGTCTTCTCGGAAGGTAGCCCAGGCTGAAATGGCGCAGGATGTCTGCTGGCGGACAGGTGTAGCCCAGCACTTCAGGGAGGTGGGGTGGGAAACCCTGGCAGCCGCGCAGTTGAGCTCTCTGTCCACCAGGGAGAGCTAGTTGCCCTCGGATCTAAGGAAGGCTTTACCTAGGGAGGCCACCCTGGACTCACATTCTCACTCTAGGGGAAGAGCTCCTTCTCGGTCCAGTGTTGCGTTTGAATCACTGCTCTCTGTGGTTAACCCAGAGTCTGTCCTCCCAGCCACGGGCTCTCCTGATCCCCCTTTGTCCCCTGACTTGCACTGGGGTGCGGCTTCAGGCACAGCCAGGGCTGTGACCTAAGGTAGGGGAGCCTGGGCTCTGCTGAGCAGGGGGCGTCTCTTCCAGTCTGTCCAGCGAGGTGCCGGGCGAGCTAAACTCGGCTTGAGCTCAGACGTCTAGCGGTGTGGTCTGCTGACTTCTGGTTGCTATGGAAATCCTACACCTGTCTCTGAGTTGTCAYGAGGACTGAATGAGGTGTTGTGCATTGTGAACGTTAGAAGTCATCATCGGAGAGTACATCAGTGGTAGGAGAGCCAGCCAGGAGTCGAATGGCCCACCTGTGAAACTGCCATTTTTGTGTACTTTATAAAGCTTTAAGGGGAAGTATTTTGTTAATGAGATATCTCCCCCCCCCTTTTCTTATTCACATGTTTGATTTTTTTTCCTTTTTTGAGAGGGTGTCTTACAGGGTAGCCCAGGCTGGCCTTTACCCTAGGTTTAAGTAGTCCTTCCTCCTCTGCTCCCAGGAAGCTGGGACGACAGTGTGTGCACTGGGCCTGGCTTCCTACCCAAGTGCTCGGGACACTCAGAATTGGAGGAATAAATTAAAGTGTGCTGAAGCAGATAAAATGAGGGGGAAAGAAGYAGACCAAGAAGCAACCTTTAAATCTCTGTTGACCCCAGGCACGTGGGCCTRCTCTGCCCCCACCCCCCTGTGTCCCTTCTGCCTCTCTGGTCTCTCCCCTGGGTCGTGGCAGTGGGCGCTGCCTCCTGAACACTTCCTGGCGGGGCGTGGTGTTGTGCTAGGGCGCTCCTTTGGTCCATTCTTCACCTTGAGAGTTACTCACCTGCTTTGAACTCCATGTGGACCTCGGTGGGAGCCTTAGCTGCTGGCCTGGCCGACCTGTGGTTCTTTCCCCGTCTTCCTAACACTAAGTTTTCGGTGCCATCTTCAGTCTCACGATGGCTGGCCTGGCCTGGGCTGTGGTTCTTCACTTAGTGTTCCTGGCTCAGAGTTCCGTGGGGCCTTTGTACCATCTGCAGTCTCACGATGGCTGGCCTGGCCTGGGCTGTGACTCTGTCCTGGTCTTCCTCACTCTGTCTGCAGTGATCCTCAGGCTGCCTCTCTGAGGCCATAGAGGCCGTGGTGAGCACTGTGCCCCTGGAGCTCTGGTTCCTTTTTGTTAATATTTATTTTTTAGTTGTAGTTGGACACAAGACCTTTATTTCACTTATTTATTTTTTTGTGGGGCTGAGGATGGAACCCAGGGTCTCGCACGTGCGAGGTGAGCCTCTACCCCTGAGCCCCAGCCCCAGSCCCGGGCGCTGGATTCTTGAGGATGGCCCTGCCACATCTCTCCTGGTGCCTTTCAGTGGTCACTCTCAGCCCAAGCATCTTGGCACATACTGGTTCATTGCGACGTTCACGATCAGTGGACTTCCTGGCAGGGACACCCTGTTGGCATAAATACTCTAGGCGCCAGCTTTGACATCACAGCACTGAGGGCTGGCCGTCTGGCGGGAGGCCCAAGTGCAGGACACTTCTCCTTCCCTTGACCTGCCCCCAGGGGGCACAGTGCTCTGCAGGACCAGGCCATGGTGACTGAGTCTCTGACCCAGACCAGAGACAGGGTGCCTGGGGAGTGTTTAGAGAGCAGGGGAGGACTGGAAACTAACAAAATTTTAAAAAGTCTGGGAGGAAGCTGGGCTCCACTGCGCCTTTCCCTGCTGGTGGGAGTGCCTTGGCGGACCTGCACATGTTGGTGGGCATCTTCTGAACACTGTGCTTCCCAGACCTGCTGAGCTTCCAGCCGGCTTTGTTCACTGCCCACTATTTTATAAGTATAATTAACTGAAATGTTGGGGACTGTACCGCGGAGCCACTCTGTAGTGTGTCTGAATCATACAAGTGCTTGGCAGATGTCACGTGTGGTGGCCATTATCCAAGCCCTGCTGGCTCGGGCCTGCAGGTATTTCCAGGATGCTGCGTGGTGAGATCTGGCCGTGTGCAAGCCTCCCCGAGTTCCCCCGGGTGCTAGGATCTACAGTTGTAATAAGAAGGCCTCTGGGAGCCCAGACTCTTGATTTCTCTAGAGACTTCCTGGCTCCTTTAGGTTATTCATCCTCTCTGGTCTCTTGGCATGAATTTCAGTATGTGGGTGTGTTGTGTATCATCAGTGAACTAAGCAGGCTGAAATGGAACTTGAAAAATGTTCAGAAAAGTTGGTGTTTTCAGGAAAGCCTGGGGCACCTGGCACCTGAGAACCAGGGGTGCAGTCGGGTCAGCTGTGCGTGTGCTGTGCTGTGGTTGAAAGTGACATGTAACATGGCATGTCCCTGCATGTGGGTAGTGTGACGTCTGGGTCAGCCTTTCCAGACAGCTGAAAGACGTGCAGGATGACGGGGTAAGTGTAAAGGCAGAGCATGCGGAAGAGCCTGTCGCCACGTGGTTCTGGGCACACTCACTGTGTGATTCAGAGCTGTGAAAGCAGAGGTCTTCGCTGGCCAACGAGGGTGTAAAGGCTTTTCTCGAGTGAGTGATAGTGCCCTGAACACCTGGCACTATCCTTTTAGCTAAATTAATGAGTCTGAAAAAMTGTGCTTAAGGGAATGCCGTCTCTGGTCTTTTGCTAAATACCTGGGTCTTCAGATAGTCTGTCAGCAGACCTTCTTCATACGTCAGTGTGCGCCCCTTGGAGAGCTGCCTTAAATYAAATTGCTTAAAGAGAACTGAGTGCTCCTATTTAAGTTAAGGTGTTTTTAGATGCGTCAACAGCTGGTTTATTTGTCTTACCAATTTAATTTTTGAACATTGATCTTTAAAGAATGCTTGACTTGATACCTACCAGTATTTTAACTTGTGTTTAGGACATTACTGGCCAGCAAATTAAATACATTTTTTAAATTATTGTTATTTATATAAGCAATGCTATACAAGTACCTATCTTCCCTTTTTTTTTTTAGCATAGGATTGCTAATAGGTTGAAAAATAATTACATAAATATATTTCAAATCCTGTTTCTTGCAGTAAGTATATTTTAGTAAAAGGAGTATTGCTTCCAGTATTTTAATTAAGAATATTTAAGTGTCACCCCCTCACACCCCAACACAAGAACAGGGCGCTAAAACACTGGAAGCATTTAAATAAAAAGAACCCATCTTAAACTTAAGGCTCCTAAGACAGACGGAAGTGAGTTTGGAAAATTATATGTGAAAAGGCTTTTGTTTGCTGKTTTCTATTACTATAACAAAATACCTGAGATAATTGGTTTAAAAGAGGAAAGGTTTTGTTTTGGCTTACACTTAGAGATTTCCGTCCATGTTTGGACCTGTTGCTTTTGGCCAGTGATGGGACAGAATGTCAGGGCCAAAATGTCTGGAACACTGTTTGTCTCACAGCCGTGCTGCTGCAGACAGACAGGAAGAAGCTGGGCTCCATCCCTCCATCCAGGGCACCCCAGTGATGTAGAACTCCCAGGAAGCCCAGCCCTGACAAGACTGCACGACCAACAGGCCACTGCGTGGAGACCAAGCCTTGAACAGTGCAGCAGGGGACAGTGCAGCAGGCCGGGGCCTGTCCTCTGTGTGTGGTCRTTCCCTTGCCCTGACCAGGCTGGGAAGAGCAGAAAGGCAGTCCGGCTGAGCTGGACTGTGTGGCCAGCTGGCCACCTAGAGCTTGGTTTGGGAATATCAAGAATAATAAGTTCTGGCCTCTGAAAAGGTGGCAAAGAGCCTAGGGGTCTTTTCATTGTCCTTCTCCTCTCTCTCAGCGGGAGGCCTTCTTAATTACAGCTCAGCTGTRACCTCTCACTGATGACGGTTGTCCTCCTTCAGCTGATGGGGCGTGTGCCTGCTGGTAAGTGAGCGGAGGTGCTGGGTGCACTTTACGGATGACGTKTCTTGCTTTCTGCTTTCTAGTTGGCCAGGAGATTACTAAAAGCCAGAGTAGTGCTGTCAGGCGGATRGGTGGGAGTTATGTGATAGGAAGCTGGTGTCCAGCCAGCCTGARTCACGGGCCACAGTGGTAGAGACTTCTGTCTCGTCAGCCCCTGTCTTGGGGTCTCTGTCKGGGCGTGTAGCCTGTCTTTACCTGAACTTCACGGACAACTCTAAACCTGGAGAAGAAGACTCGAAAGTCACTTTGACATTATGTTGATATGAAGCCCTGAAAGTAGAAGCAGAATGCTCCTCTTGGGGTGAAAAACTTAGAGAATTTGAAAGTGATTGAGGGAAATAGAAGGAAAATCACAAATAACTTTGCAAGATGAAAGAGTAGTAACTCTTTTACTTAGAAGGATATATATGCTTAGATTTTTTTAAAATTGCTYTGAGACAAGCCTGGTATGGGGCTCAGCAGTAGAACGCTGGCCTGGCCTGCACAAGGCCCTGGTTCAGTCCCTGACCCTGGGAGGAAGAAAGACAAGGCTGTACTTAGAATACCTAGGACTGAGCCTTTAGTTCCCATTTCCAGCTGTTACTCTTTCTGTGCATCTTGCTCTAGGCAAGGTATTTTGCTTCATTTGTAAAATAAKGAACTAATACTTATATTTCATTAATGTGAGAACATACGTGATTGGAAAGGAAAGYGTCTTGTGCATCGTTTTGTGTAAGCACAGGAAGACATGGTGTTTAGAGGCTGCTTTACGATAAGTGGGCAGAGATCGCCAGTCTCMTGCTTGCTAGCCTTTACGTAAGCTTAAGGTATTTTGTGATCCGCACTAAGTATTTCAAGTTTGTTGTCTTGTACAGGGTACCAATATTAGCCAAATGTCTGATATATGAAATAAGATACTTTTTTTCTCTTATCAAGAAGTACTTAATTATGAAAATGGGGGGAAATACTGTATTCACAATAGTGACAACAAACAAGAATACTTTGATGTAATTTTTAGCAAGAAAAGTAACAGATCTGTTTGACAAAGTTGGTGGTTCAATATACTGGGAAAAAATGGATTACTAAACAAATTTTGCTGGCACAATTAACTGTTCATCTGGAATAAACTGAAATCTTAAAATGTGAAAAAATAGCTCCCAGATGGATTAAAGCATAAATGTAGAAAGCAAAATAATAAATCTTAGACTTCATGTGCAATTCAGAGGTTGGGAAAACACTAACTGAGGTTATAAATCTAGAATATTTTTTAAGAGATAGATTTATTTGGCTACATGAAAAATAAATACTTCAATGGCAAACGGAACCGTAAACAAAGTCATCGAGATACAGTGGATTTGGAGAGGTGGTTAGGATTTATGTCTAATACACAAAGAGCTCTTCAACTTGATAAGACAAGGCATCTGGCAGAAAAAAATGGGTGGAGCACATTTAGATGGGTAATTCACAGGAGAGCAAAGCAGATTTCCAATAAACTTATGAAATGCTTGAAGTTTAGCATTAAGGTGCTAATGAGATAGCCATGGTGTGTGACAGTTTTATTTTTATCTTGCAGTATAAAAAATTAACAAAACACACATTCATGTCCTCATGGTTTCCACGTGCAGAAGTCAGGCTGCTTCTGCTGGGTCCTCTGCTGGGTCCTCTGCACAGGGTCTCAGGAGGCTCTGAACTTCTTCAGACAGGTGCTGGCTCCTCTCTGGAGCTTGGGGTCCTCTTCCAGGCTCACACAGTTGCTGACAGAATTCTGTCCCCTGCCATGGTAGCACAGAAGCCTCCCTCTGCTGCTGGCTATCTGCTGGGGCCACCAGAGGCACTTGCTGTAAAGTGCCCCCTCAGGCCTCCTCCCCACACGTCCTCTCACTTCTTCAAGATGGGCAGGAAAAGCCCGGCTCAGGTCTGCGTATATAGAGGGCTTTACTGTGGGAGTGACTGCCCCACCTTTGCCATGTTCTTAGAGGCAAGGCACCAGCCCCATCCTGCATGGTTATAGGACCCCTTGGAGAGGTCGTGTCATCTTAGGATTTTGCCTCCCATAATTATTGTCAGTCCATTACCCTGGAAATGACTGGGGAGAAATCGTTATGTTTCCTGCCAGGTGAGACGGGAGGTCTGTGTAAGAAAGGGACCTTGTATCCATGTCTGGAAACAAAGGAGGGAGAATTACTGTAGCCTTTAAAGTGTTTGCTTTCAGCCAGATAAACTTTTGGATTCAATAAATGTACTCTTGGGAACCTTATGGAAATAAAGCCTCCAATACACAAGGACATGTGGCAAGGACATTTTTTGCATTATTATTGAGTAGCAGGAAGGCGGGAGGAGGTGACTGGCCATCAGTAGGGGGCGTGGTTGGATAAAGCGTAGTCCWTCACGGAATCTTCTACTCCACTGCAAAAATGAGCTGTTCCAGGTGACTTAGCAGGTTACCAGCCGTGTTGTGGAGTGGTACCTGCCTGTTGGTGTGTCTGTATGTTGTCACCTGGTGTGGAGGGAACTGTGCAGGGATGTGTATTAGATTTTTAATATAAAGCTTTTCATGAAGCTGAAGGTGGGAAGGAAACTGTTGGAGAGAAGCACCCTCTTCCTGAGTCTGAGGTGTGTGATGGAGTCACATCTGTGTGTTTATGTGGTAAAAAATAAAACTGATTTGGATATGGGAATGTTTCTGTTTCTTTGTATTGAATTTTCAAAATGGATGATGAATATTGTCATAGAGATTTTTATGACTTGTTATGTTTTCTGTGGTCCAGATGTATTGTCTTAATATTAAAGTTCATGACTGTGAGTTTAAATGCCTGAAGCACAGAACAGTGGGGGCCTGGAAATGAATGAAGAGCAGACACTTAGCGTTTTCTCCTTCAGTGCTACTAGGTCCAGAACAGAAGCCGTATAAAACCGTGCCGTCTACTGTTGTTTAGCTGTGTAGACTTAAGTAGAAAGAACTCTTATTCCAGTTTCTATATTCAATGTTCTAATTTTGGCAAATCTTCCACATTGAGGATTTTATAAAACTGAATGAGACTGTGATTTTTAAATGTTTTCTCTTCTAGTGTCTTTTTCTGAAGAAGAGAAATATCAGCTACGGAAGTTTGTCAATAAATCTTTCCTGCTGGACAAGAGAGCTCGCCGGCAGGTGTGCTACGGTTTAATTGACATTCTTCTGGCGTATTGCTACGAGACCCGGGTCACCGAGGGTGAGAGGAATGTAAGTGTATGTGGGCGCACACCCCTGCACCTGCTACACTGGGGACACACATGGGCTCCTGAGCTCTGTTGGCGAGGGTCCGACCTATCCTGAGGGTCACTTAGGTGCCCGAGCATCTGAAAATAGTTTGTTTTCACTCATCTTGTATAAAGACACTATAGTTGGATAAAATGTTTTCTTTGACCAGAAAGTACTTCCGATTATTGAATCTTGGTGAGTGAGAGCATTCGGTTATATTTGATAAAATTTACCTTTTTTTTTTTCTTCTGTTTACCTGTTTGAAATTGTGATACCTGACACCCTGGAGAACTTTTCTAGAACACCCTTAACCTCACAGGTATTCTCTGGAAGGGCCATTTCTTGATCACTAGGAAGTTGACACAGGTGGCACTAAGGGGCTTAGCTGAGAGGGACAGAAACGGAACAAGCGTTTTTTACCTTTAGCTTTTAAAGCCCCGGCTTATTTGCTTTTGTGTTTTGGTATTCTTATTAGTAAGAAATTTTTATTTTATAAGATTTTAAGCAAACTAAGCAGAAACGTCTAATAGCCTCTGTATTAGTAAAGCAGTCATTTTGAACAYTCATACACGCTTCTCAGTTCTTGTACTTGTCAGTTCTACTCAGGTACAAGTTTGAGTAGAGAGATTTGTTTTATTTTCAAATGACTTTGCTTCTAAAACAGATGTTACTCTTTTCTCCAAAACAAAGGTGGAGTCCTCTTGGAATCTCAGGAAACTGAGTGCCACGCTGTGCTGGTTTGAGGTATGGTTCTGGCTGCAGGTTTTAGACTTTTGTTGTTCAGAACGTTATTTTTCGGTTATCTTTACTTCACTCTGCGTAATTCAAGCTACTCTGTCTCAGCACGGAAGCTCTGTTTGCAAGTTTGTTTTTCATTTTTCGGGGTCATGGAGCCGACTAGGTATTGTGGAAATTGGGGAAGGGAAATGTAGCTTGGAGGAAGAAGAGGGACGTGGTCGGGGGAGAAYGTGGGTGGACTGGAAGCTGGTGTGCAGAGTGGCCTGTCCTGGAGCTCAGCACTCGGGAGGTGGACCCCAGGGCCTGCGGCAGGCCTGCGTGCCTGTGACTTTAGCTCCTCCTCTGAGCGAGTCTGTGAGCTGAGTGTCGCTGTGGCACACGTGGGGACCGAGATTGTACAGCTTAGACAACGCACCCCACGTCCCTCAGTCAGGGTGGCTCGGATGAGTCCTAGYGCAGTAATGATTGTTCTCATGTCTGTTTTCTAGAAAATAGATGTGCAGGTCTCACCTGAAATATCAAAGGGTGATATCTGTACAGTTACTAATTTTTAAACAAACTGTTTTACGTGCATTCAGTAATTAAAAGTAGAAGCTTTAAAAAAAAACAAAGTATCAGTTTAGACAATTGGTCACAGTGACATCAGGTAAGACCCTCATACTTTGGGATGCCAAGTCAAGGCTGTGTTGTGTGGTGTCACTTTGTTCCCTGAGGAGACAGGACTCTAAGGCATTTCGTCAGAGACCCTGATGAGCACGGAAGCTTTGTTTGGCTGTGGACCCGCAGCCTCCAAGGGAGATAGTTAGAAAGATCTCCTTCCTGGCCACYGTCAGCACGCAGTAGGGGGGCTGGGCTTTGTAATATTTCTGCCAACGGGTATTTTGAAMGTCGGTGACTAGTCATTTCCTCATTAAGGAATTAAAATCTGCATGAAAATCCACACATTTRTGAGTTTATTTAGAAGTTTTTATTCTGAGATAATTCTGAATTGAGATAATTTTAATTCCCATGTATTAACAGCTATGTTAAATGCATAAGTGTTTAGGTTATTGCTAGAGTTTTTTAAAGTTCAGAATTCCTTTTAGATAAAAATGTTCTTTGTTAAATATTCAGCATATTTGATCAGAGCTTTCATGGCTGTGAGAATTAAGATACGTAGAGATTATCTCACTCCCTTAGTCTTAATTTTATTTTTCAAGTTTTACATGTGATTTCCTTTTTTATACTTACCCAAACCAATTTAAAAACGATTTTGTAGAAAATTTCCTTCAATTTTTGTTTTTTTACAAGGATTCTGGGGATTGAACTTGGGACCTCAATACTCTAGCACCTGTATCTAGAGTTTTCAGTGGATTTTGAGTTGCTAATGGTATCAGTTTGTTACCTTTTAAGATAAAACATTTTTTCAGAAATCACCAGTCCAGTCTTCTTTATCAGTGAAAGCAGATGACTGAGGTGAATCACAGGTGCCACTCATGCCCCAAGGAGAAATAAAGACACACAGGAGGGCAGAGACTGTGACCATGCTTGACTCAAGTCTCCTCATCCTGGATCTTTGCCATCTTAGAACAAGACAAAGGACGTAGCGCATACCAGTTAAAAATATCCTTCATGTGCACCTGCATTTTGTTAGTGCCACGTGTTTTAGATTTTTATTTGTAATTCTGGAGACTCTTTAAAACTTTCCTGCTACATAAGTGATTTTTAAGGAGCATTTGTGATATGTTGATATAGCATGAGAGATTCCAAAGACTGCAGTAAAATATTGTGAACTGTTCAAAAAGAATCTCATTTCCTGGCTCTCTGTTTCTCTTGTACTTTACTTCATGATGACCAGGTTCACAGTGTTTGATTGAGAATGGCTTCCTGTTTCATTGCATGCTTTTGTTGGTAACACTTTATGGAAATGACTGCTGATTAAAATGGCATTTCACAGACTTGGAACGATATTCATGAAATCCTGGTGTCTTTTGGAAGGAGAGTTTTGTGCTACCCACTTTATCGCCATTTCAAGCTGGTGACAAAGGCCTACAGAGATGTAATAAAGATCTTGCAGCTAGGTAAGATATCGGGCTTGCAAATTTGGGAGTGGGAGAGTCGTGAGTTTTTAGGGTGTGAAGACTTAATCATGTTTTTTGCTTTTGCCTGTATGTAAGTGATAATAGTTAAAATAGTCAGAGTGACGCCTTCCCCGGGGGTATAAAGTAGTTGTCCCTCTGCATAGACACACACTCACCCAGAGGCCTAGTGTTCTTCTCCAAGAGTAGAGGGTAGGAAAGAGCACGCCGTGTTGCACACCAGCTCGCCCTTCCGGTGGGTAATGGGTTCAGTATTCCTCCGAGGCCTGCGGTGGACTGTGGGCCTGACAATAACTACCTGCCCAGTGAGAGCTGGCGCTGTGTCAGATGATTCGCGAGTGGCTCGAGGCAGTGAGAAGAGCTCGTTGGGCAAGTGCAGGGACCATTTGGGAGCACTTGTCACCTAGACTTGGGAGGTCAGGAGGGACTTCCAGAGAAAAGTACAGCTACTGGAGTGACTTTGCTGCTAAATTCAGCCTGAGAAGACAGATACYCACTAGCTTGAAGAATATGCGAACTTCCAGGCTCCGAAACAAATTCCAAAGCACGTTAAGGGTCTAGTTGCCAAGATAATGACTTTGGGGGGTGGCATCTGTGTGTGTGTGATCAGCAGTATGTCCATGCAGAAGTCACTGTAGGGCGTCATAGTCCTTCTCAGATGTCCCCCTGCGGAGTCTTGTCCTTCTTCTGCTCTTAGACACAAGTGTTTCTGGGAGCCTCGTTCTCAGACTTGAGGATAGAGGGCAAGAAGGGAGTCCCTGCTTGGGGATCCAGGTGCTGGCTTGGCTCAGTGGGCAGACTCTTGTCGCCAGTGGTTATGATTCTCCTGTGAGGTTCTCTGTCCTCTGTGTGACCTGGAGTTGTCTTGCCCTGGGGGAGAAAGGCGTGTCTGAAGAAGATCCTCTTAAAGTAGATAATAATTGTAAAAATGAATCATAGTTAAATGAAAGAAGCCTTTTGAGTCATCTAGTTAGATTAGACTATTTCGAAAGATTGTTGATTATAGGATAAAAGAGCTAATATCATTGAGAAATCAATCTTCTTTACCAGTGGGAGGAAAATCTGCCTCTTTTTTTTTATATATATATTATTTCTTCTTGCCTGTTGTCCAAGATAGTTCTTGTATTTCTAAAATCACCTTGAAAATCAATGTACTATAAAGAATGATTGTAGGGCTTGAGCTGCACATCACAATTAATTGTTTTGTAAGTCATGCTAGATTATCTGGGCATGATTCATAGATTTAAACCACAAGAACTCCTAGATTTAAGCAGTATGTGATTATCCTGTTACATCACGGCTTCCGGAGCAGAGCCAGCGAGACCTGTGTGTGGCTGCACCCACACTCATGCTCACTCGCTTGCTCTCCTACATAGAAACTGTTACTTGTTTCTTTTTATTSTGGGAAATAATCCAGTTCTCTGTTTTTTTTTTTTTTTTATTTGAGAAGTAATCAGTTCTTTGATTGCATAACTGAAAAATAAACTTGATTGCCTTGACTTATGCTCTAATCAAACAGTTTTAGTAGATCGGAATTGAAATTGAGACTTATCTTTTCGTCGTTGTCACTCTGATAAGCAGTAGTTATATTGGCAGTATTGTGATAGCAGCAGGAAACTTGAAATAACATGCGTGGGCCTCGCTCCTGGGACTGTGTCAGAGCCCCCTGTAGAAGGCGCGGGGTGCTGTGGCTCATCTGGGCTGTGGTTGGTTGGTGCCAGACACAGGACTGGACTGTCTCGAGTCCACACCGTGAGACGAGGATGCTAGGGTCCTGGTGATGGTTGTGATCCTGCGGCAGCACAGGGACACCAGTGTTGTCACTCTAGACTCGTTTGCACGGACACCCATAAGTAAGTGAAGGTGGCTCTGCTGTGGCATTTAGTGTCACCCTGGAATGCGTTGGTGCCTGCGGGTGGTTCGCAGCGCAGCCCCAGCATTCCGCTTCTTCACACACGCCAGCGTGGTACTTCCACAGTGGGGACGAGAACGTGGATAACTCGCCCCCCAAGAGATGTCCGTCTCGGTGAGCTTCCCAAACCCCCACAAGGCTTCAGCATCTGCAGAACCTTCACTGTAACCCAGGGGCTGCAGTCGCAGTCTGCCCGGAGCCCAGCCTGGGCTCCACCTGACTCCCACGCCGTTGTGTGGACCCTTTCCTACACCTCTGGCCTGTTAGGGGTCTGTGCACCACCCACCCTCCCTCCCTCTTCCAGAAGGCGGTGCTTATCCCTTGAAGTTTCCCAATGTCGATCATGATTCTTTGGGGCAGGAAATCCGGCTTTGCCCCCTAAGTACTGCTTAGTGCTTACACTGGACTTTGCCCACGGCGCTGCGCTCCCTCCAGCTGTCAGCTTGTGGCCCACGACTCCCCCTTCATCTTCAGCTCTCCCCTTTCTCCTTCTGTCCCCGTCTCCCAGCAGCCTTCACAACCTCCTCCTCGCTCCATGCCTCTGGGAAGGGAGAGGTGGACTCCRTGGGGAGGCACCTGGGAATAACAGAAGAAGGGATGGGAAGAGCTCTCTGGTGACTTCAGAAGTCCTGCTCGACCTCAGAGGGACGAGCCTCAGCTTCACGCTTGGCCACAGGTCACATGTGCAGGTCACTGAGTGCTCGTGTGTGCCTCACGGCCCAGAATCGGCTTCCTCTGGCTCACGGCGGATCACGCCGACTTCACTCTGCGAAGACCCTTCCTGGACGTTTGGCTGCCCTGGGTTTACGAAGGGGTCCTCACCTGCTTCTGTGAGGCGGCCGAGGGTGAGGAGGGGGAAGCTCTTCAGGCTTGGTCTTCCTCCCGTTCCCCTGGGAGCCCATTTGTCGTCCTGCCCCCGTGGGTGGAAGAGTTGTGACACCAGGTCTCCTATARTACACATCCGGTGACTCTTCTCTGTCGCTTTAGATAGCAAACAAGTCTTCTCATCCCTTCTAGTTGCAAGCGGAGTCTAACTTCAGGACTTAGAACACTCACTTTGAACTTACTTAAAAAGCCCCCCTGGCTTCCACCGCCTGGGTCCAGCTGCTGGGAAGCCACAGGGAGGAGGTGGCCCCACTGCTGCTCCTRTCACAGAAGGACCCCTGGCTCCCAGAGCAGCCCCTCCCGGAGCCACCTGGCTGCTCTTTGCTGCTGTACCCGTCCTCGTCCCTCACAGTTACAGCTTCCAGGGCACAGGGTTGCCCCTTCCCCAAGCCTCTTTCAGATACGTGTTTGGTACCCGTCTTGTCTTTAGTGACTTCAGGGCAAACGAACCGGAAAGTGCCTCTTCACAAGCTGGCACAGCGAGCAGTGACAGCCTGGGGCAGGCTTCTTTCTGGGTGCCACCACTGGGTCGCTCCTTGCTGCCTCCTCATCACGTTTCCCGTGCACCGTGACCCTGAGGGGCAGGGAGAAAAGAGTGTCCAGGAAGCCACGTCAGTAGCCCAGGGCCACCGTCTGTGCTCTAGATGGCGCAGCCTGGGTTTGACCCAGCTCCAACCCAAGTCTGGGCCGCATCTCCATGGAAATTGTTATAAAYGAAACTACATGGAGTCTGAGGTTGGCCTCCGCAGTTCCTGGTGGATGGTGGGAAGTGGTGGGTGCGGCTGAAGCACGTTGGTCACAGGTGATCATTGCTGGCCGGCACTGAGGGCTTGGTATTCACGATACTGGCCTGTTTTGTACATGTCGAGAGTTTCCTTTATAAATAACATTGCTTTGTTTTGTTTCCTGCAAGTCTGGGTTCTTCACCACTTTATGTTTCAAACTTAAATTTATCCTTGTGTGGAAAACGAAATGTGCGTTTGGGCAGTGGTATGAGAATGTTGGGTAATAAAAACCTTGTAGTTTTCTGTCTGTCCTGTCTGTTGTCCAGGCTGGTGGGAACCTGACTTCCGCAGACACTTGGAGTCTGGCCACTAGCAGCCCAGGTAGGGAAGCCACCCTAGGCGTCTGGCTTGACTTCAGACAGCCAGTAGCCCTCCGGTCAGCTGATCCCCGAGCTCAGTAATAGCCAGCTGCTCAGCAGTGACTGCTTCCTAACCCTTCCACAGCTAGAACTTGACCAGTGTGAAAGAAAGGAGGGCTCAGGGCACCAAGCACAGGGCTAGCTGTTGATCTTCTTTACGAAAACGGATGGGCAGGAAATTGAGGTCTGCTAAGTTCCTTGCAGGAGCTCCAGATGCTGATGAGGGCGTGACGGGGATTTCTGTTTAATGTTCACACTCTATTTATTCCGGTCAGCTTAGCAAACACTCAGGAAAATGGAACTGTAGAGGGGATGACATACAACTAGACTAGCAAGGCTGAAGTCTAAGACTGTCCGATATTGATATTCATCTTTATTTAATTTTCATGCATTCCTGGCTGGGGACGTTCTGAGGAATTGTTACGCCTTTCAACTTTTCCTCTGTAGACCACCTGTGGCGCTGCGTTCACCCAGCAGGCTCCCACTGGCTTGCYGTACTGAACTGGGTCCTGGACCAGCAGTAGTTCTAAGGGGGGGGGGGGCACAGAATCATGCTGCAGGTTTAAAGAATAATTTCTGTTTTTACTTGTAGTAAGAAACTCAGAGGAGAAGTWTGGGGAGTGAAAGGGTAGGCCAGGGAACCAGATGGGCTTAAAGCATGGGACACGTAGCCACCTACAAGGGGACCCTCTGCTTTATCTGACTTCGTCCAGAGTGCGTGTAGCCTGGCTGACGAGCTCATCTGTTAACTGGCTCACCCCACGGTGTGTGGGATGATCACCTACTCAGCAGCCGTTCTGTGCAGGGCGCCCAGGAAGTTAGAGCAGTAGCAAGGAATTGACCAGGTGGATGGTACTGGACGCGCAGAGTCTGAGCACTAGCAGGGACACTTGAGATGGCAGTCACTAGCCAATACCTCGAAGACCAGGGGGGTATCATAAAGAAAGGATGACTGAGTGGCTCACAGAGGGGGGGTGGGTGTCCCTGGGGGGCAGGGAGTGCTCTGCAGGGTAAGGGATTGGAATTGGGGTTGGGGAAGCA